CTGGCCTCGAACTCACAGAGATCCACCTGCCTCTGCCTCCCGAGTGCTGGGATTAAAGGCGTGTGCCACCACCGCCCAGCTGACAAGCTTTCTTTTTATAGTCTTGGGATTCACTCTGCAGACCAGGAAGTCCTGGAACTCACAGAGATTCACTTGCCTCTGCTACCTGAGTGCTCAGATTAAAGTGGTGTGCTGCTGCCACCATTACCTGGCTACTTTTGAAGCTTTAAGCAAACATTTTTATAAAAGGATGAGGGAGCCAGCCGGTGGTGGCTCACGCCTTTAATCCACTCAGGAGGCAGAGGCAGGCAGATCTCTGTGAGTTTGAGAACAGCCTGGTCTACAGAGCTAGTTCCAGGACAGCCTCCAAAACAATACAGAGAAACCCTGTCTCGGAAAACCAAAAAAAAAAAAAAAAAAAAAAAAAAAAAGAATAAATAAATAAAAGGCGGAGGGAAGGGAGTTACAAGTTCAAGATGTGCTTGAACCACTAAATAAATTCAAGACCAGTTCTTGTAACTCAGTAACACCCTGCCTTAAAACAAAACAAGGAAAGAAGCAGGAGACTGGACCCTGGAATTAGCTTAGCTGGGAGAAGAGTATTTGGCCAGCACATAAAAAGCCCAACACCACTTCAAACAGTGGGTAGCGCCACATGGCCTGCAATCCTAGTACCTGGGAGGTGGAGGGAAGAGGATCACAAGTTCAAGGCCATCCTCAGCTCTACAGCATTTTCCAGGCCAGCCTGGAGTACACGTGATGCTTTTCCCAAAGGCAGTTGGGGCTGTAGTGCAGTGGTAGAGAGAGTAATTGCCTAGCACTTGTGAGGCTCTACATTTAACGTGAGGCCTGGGAATTTAAAAAATAAAAATAAAATAAAACACCAAGCTGATGGGCTCAGCAATAACAAAATCTAAAAACAGCATTTTGAGATTTCTTTTAATTATATAAAATTTAATTATATAAAATGTCAAAAGAAAGAAAGCTATATTAGTAAGGAAGTTAGCTAAAATGTATTTTAATTTTATATACAGTTTGACATTTGGGGGAAATATAAAATAGTAATATAAGCTCTTCTCACATATGCTGAGCACAGGAAGACCATGCAATCACAGACCATAAAGTTGTAATTTAAGATGGCTTTTAATTTAAAGTCATCTAAGTTTAGACAAAGCGTGACATCCTACATACCTGTATTAAAACATCTGACTTGTCCTTTAAATCATGAAAACTTTCCAGTTACTAGTTTATATATAAGCATTTTTTAAACTGGTTCCTTATTCAAAGTGGGTGAAAAGCAACATCTAACAGACATTCATTCCACCTGTAACTCTCAGCATTCATATGCTTATTTACAAACAGTCTCCAAATTTCTTCTCTGAAAACAGAAAACTTGAATCACAAAGGCAAATCAAGTTTAGTGTGATCTGAGACAACCAAGAGTCCAGGATCTCCATTGGATGCTGTTTCTGTGAGCCCTGATAACCCAGAGCTCAATACACATGCTTGATTGTATCTACAGGATTATATACTTTGCCTAAATCATAGCTTCAATATTCCTAACTCTACTTCTGTGAAACCCCATGCCAAGAGGAATATTTAGAAGAATAAATCTAATAGATAAAACAATATGAACAAAAAGAACTCTTGACACTTAACTTGACAAATAAAGTTTTGGCCCTTAGAAAAATCATTAAAAAAAAACTCAATCCAGGCGTGGTGGTACACACCTTTAATCCCAGCACTTGGGAGGCAGAAGCAGGCTGATCTCTGTGAGTTTAAGGTCAGCCTGGTTTACAGAGTGAGTTCCAGGACAGGCTCCAAAGCAATACAGAGAAACCCTGTCTCAAAAAACCAAAACCAAAAAAGCCCCCCCCAAAACAAACAAACAAAAAAACCCAGAAAGCCATTTAAAAAAAAGCAAAAAACCCCATCATCTCTTTTATTATGTCAAAGCTTCTTGGTAATGATTTGTCATCAAGTACTGTCCTCTACTCCTTCAGGAGCAGTTTTATGTAAGAAATAAAAACCATCCCCCAATCCAGAGAGATTGTAGGATTAACTATCCTTAAACTTTCCTCGTGTTATCTACCACAAGCCAACAGTCTCAAACAGCAGTTACTGCTTGTGATGGGAAGTGAAAGAGACCAAATAAATACCTTTCCACTGGAGGAAGAAAGGGTTCAGGCAGATGCCCACTGCTAGCAACTTCGACTGTGCCAGGTGGGGAGCCCTGGTCTGGCTGACCCAGAAGAGGCACCCAGGCAAGGCCATGGGAGGCACAGCCATGTATTCCAGAGAACCCTGCAGTGTCAGGAGAGAAGAGCCCAGGCTTGTCATTTTCACCTAGGGATACACTCCATTTTCCAAACTGGGCGTTGGCGTCCCACACCTTTAATCCTAGCACTTGGGATTAACAACAACAAAAAGCATGGTTTGCATGACACAACTCAGGCCAAGAGCTGGTTAATTCAGGCAACGTCTAAAAGAAAGGGCCAAGTCAGCTTATCCAATGCCTCCCACCAGCAGCATACCACTGTTCCTGTCACCAGCTTTTCAGGAGAACTGGAATTCTAAGGCTAATTCAATCTACCAGGCTTCACATTTAGAAAAGTGGAGACACGTGACTGATCCAATCCATTAATTTACATGCCAGGAAGGGAAAACGAGTGATAATACAAACAGGCATTAAGGACAGTTAAGAACAAAGCCACCGACTTCAGTATCTTTAATTAAAACAAGCAACATTAAAAAACAAAACTAATAAACTAATAGTGTTGACAGAGAAGCAATTTTAGATCTGGAAAGATACTGACATGTAAACACAAGTGAACTGCCCACTCTAAACACCCTGAAAATCTAAAAACCCTGTGGAAACACCAGGCAGAAGCAAAGGCAAGAAAACTCCCTTCTAGGGCTCCAGGGGACATGCAGACCAGTGGACACCGGGGATTCTCTGTCACTGCAGTTATCCTGGGCACTATCTTCTCTTGTCTTCAATTCCCAACAGTGTGTGGTGCAATTATCACTAACTGTACAGTTTGCCTGTTGTCTCCCAAAGTGGCTGACCGACCTCCAGTTCCTGGAGGGGACTTCCCACTCCACTGTATTGCGCCCTTCCTATCCCCGGGTCTGTTTGGTTTGGTTTTTAACTGGGGTCTGGGCTCTTGTTACCTCCCTGACCTACCTTCTTCCCACTGCCACTCTTTCTATGCCTTAGAACCTTATCTCTCCATCCTGCAGAGCCCAGCTTCTCTCCACTGTCAGCCTCGGCCCAGATGCCTCCCTGTACATCTGGCTTTCCCCAAATGGGCCTCCCACTCCATGCTGGTGCTGGCCTCGTTCTTGCCTCTGAACCTGTCTGGAGAGTAGCTCCTAGCACATTCGGTTTGGAATGTCTTCTACCTTTCTGTATCTTTACTGGAGGCTGTATCGTGTCTCCTAGCCATGTTTGAGGTGTCCTCCCGGGGCATCAAGAAGGTATATTTCTCTGTGCCTGTGCTCCCTCCCTCCATCCTCCTCAAAACCTGTGACTATTTTCACCATATGCTTCTCTGTACATAACATGCGTCCAACCAACCAATGCTTTGGAAGCCTCCCGAGGCTTGACGGTTCCCTTTTCTGTTTATAAATTCCCTGAACTTATATACTCCCAAGACATAGACAATTGTTTGTGGCCGCCTCCGTGTGTATGCGTGTGTGGGAGCCTCTGGAAGCTCTGCTGGCCCAGGTTTCTGCCTCTCCGGTGGCTCTGCCTAAGACTGTTTTTCTCTGTATGCATTTAAAGTGCTTGACACTAGTGGGAGCTCAACAGATGTTAGTTCTTTTCTCCACTTTTATCTAAGTATGGGAGGTCTAAGTCGGGTGTCCCTCTGCCTAACTGTGCCTGTTTCATAAGACGAACTGGAATATATTCCTTAGTAGGCACCGAGCTATTTCATAAAGCCCCGCGGGATGCAGCTCCTTCCGTCTGTCTCTCTGAACAAAATGTCACTGGTCCCCCATATGGTACAGCCTTTCCCTTTGACAATGAGTCCACTTTCTACTCCCTACTCTACACCCCCCTACTACATGTCCACAATCGGCTTCCTTGTATGCCCAGGGAGTTAAACGTCGTCCGGTGCCCCACTCTTTCAAGTGTGAAAGTGTTCCTGGCTTTGGACTCCGACTGCGCGTTACGTACCCCCGAGCCCCTTCTTGTAGTAGACAGGCGCTCGCGGCGTGGGACACCCCAGGTTTCCGTCCGGGGCCCAGGCAGAGATCCGAGTCTCTGCTCAGGACGCCCGGTGTCTCCCCACAACCTCCGGGCTCGCTCCTCGCCCACCACAGCGAGTCAGCAGCACAAGACGAGGCGCGCCTCCCTCTCGGCTGCGCCGGGCTTCCGAGAATTCCACTCCCCAGAACCTGCCGTCCCGTTCCTGGCTCCGGTTGTGTCTGGGGCTTCGGGTGTCTCTCCCCGGGATGTGATGTCGCTTGGCCGCCTCGCGGGACGCGTCCCCGAGCCCCTTCCCCCTCCCCGCGGCGCCGGTACCCCGGCCGCCCCGAGTCTTCGGCGTACACGGCCGCCTACACGCGGGGTGCCAGAGTCTGCAAGTCCCCGAGGACCAGTCCCGTCCCCACCCCACGGGGCGCCGCCGCCCCTCGGCGTGTCCCCGGACGCTCCCTCGCCCCGGCGGCCGCGGCCCCGGCTTCTTTACTGGTAGCTGCGCGCGCCCTCTCCGCGGGCAGGGCGGCCGCCGCGCCTCTCTCCTCCAGGCCCGCGGACGCCGTCGGAAAGTCCCGCAGCCGCGGCGGAGCCCAGGCCCCGCCGACCCCGCCGCCAGGGGCCGCCCGCCCGCCCGCGTCCCCCCGGCCCCGGCCCCGGCCCGCGACGTCGGCGCCCCGGCCGGCTCGGCTCCGCGGGCGCCCGGGCGGCAGCGCCCCGGCGGCGCCGCGCCGGGGCCGGGCAGAAAGCGCCGCGGCCGCCGCCTCCCCACGCCTCGGGGGCCGCGCTCGCTCACCTTGTGGCTCTGGTACGTCTCCAGCGCCCGGATCGCCGTCTCGGTGAGCTTCACATGCAGCACGGTGATGTTGTCCTGCCCCAGCCGCCCGCACGCCAGCCCGTAGCGCTGCTCCTCCCGCAGCCCCGCCGCCCCCCCCGCCGCCATCTTAAGCTCCCCGGGGTGCCACCGCGGACGCCGCTCGGGCTCCAGCCTCCACTGCGGCCGCGGCTGCTCGGGCTCCTGCAGCCGCCGCCACAGCTACGGCCATCCCGCGGCTGACGTACTGTCATAGACTGCGCGCAGCCCGACCGCGGGCTCCCACCGCCGCCCGCCGCCCCGCCCTCGCGCCCGCGCCCCGCCCCGCCCTCCGCTCATTGGCCTGGATCCCCGCAGGGCCGCCCTCATTGGCCGTCCTTCACCTCCAGGGGGGCGGGGCCCAAAGTCGCCGGAGTTTCGCTCCGGACGGGACGTCCGACAGAGGAGAGGCTGACGTCGGGGGTGACGCGCCGAGTTAATCGCATCTGACGTCACGTCTCGTCCCGTCTCGCCCGCGGCGATTGGCTGCGCCGATTTGGGGGATCTCCCCCCCCCCCCCGCTAACTGGGCGTCAAGGTTACCAGGTCTGGTCGTCCGGGTCGGAGCCCCGCCCCCGAAGGGTAACAGTGGACCGGCCGCCCGCGGTCCCAGAGTCCCTGTCCCGTGGTCCCGGTGCCGGCGGGGCGGCTGCGGAGCTCCCCGCAGAGGAAGGTCGGCAATGCGGAGGGACGGACGGACTTTATTCCACACTTGAGGTGTCCCCCGGCCGCGGTCCCCAGGAGTCGAGGGCAGCCTTCTTCTCGGGGCGTGGGAAACGGCCGCGCTGTTGGGGGGTTTCTTCTCCCCGAGGGCTGACCTCGGCCTCGGCGAAAAGGAGCCTGGACAGCCGTTCTCCCCCAGTCTGTTGGAGACCTGGTGAGGCTGTAGGCTAGGAGAAGGTCTTCCTGAGGTTAGATGTGTGGACAGGCTGCATAGCTTTCCCCTGAGAAGGCCAACTAACTGGGTGATCAGAAACCCAAGACAAGGTCGGGGTGCAACGTATGAGAGGATAATAATACCACTAATATTAAAAATACCACAGTAAGACAATTGCTGAGCCTCGCAAGGCTGAGGATTGATTGACTGTGGAGGGTTCTAGGCCGGCCTAAGCTATAAACCGAGCCCCTGCCTACACAAACAAAAAACAAACAAAACAACAACAACAACAACAACAAAAAAACCTAACAAAATAGAAACAAGGAGAACGAAACACAAGAGACTCAGGTGAAAGAGTTTAAAGTGGGGCTAGGTGTTCTGCTTTAAAGATAAAGAGATACCCCTTTTCGGTTTTGTTTTAAAATTCATTCATTGCTATTCTGATTGTAAAACCTTACTGTGTGTTTCCTGGGATTCTTTTTATAGCATTTAATCAATATCTTTCTAGTTTTTTAGTACAGTTGGTGCTATGATCTCCTTTGATTCCATACCTTTTCCCAGACCCTCGAGCATTCCATGTGTATACTGCAAGTCTCAAGGAATTATCTTTCTGTAGTGTAGAGATTAAATAAAAGCACAGATGTCCAGTCTAGTTTCTTCAGGAGATATCCCTTCGTAAATTGTCCTAATTTCAGTCCATTAATATTGGTTCTGTTAACATGTGGCTTACACCTGTTTACTTTAATATTCATATAGTGTCAGTTACCTTAAATTCATTGAATAAGGAAATGAAGGCAATAGCAACGATGAACTACAAAATTTACTTTTACAGGGGAAAATAAAAGCTTCATATTTCCTCATAAAAATACCTTATTCAAATACTCCATGTCTAAGTGAAATATAGTCTGAAGAGGAATTCTGGGTGAATTCTTCTTTATTCTTCTTTACTTCTACAGGAAAGAACTTACCACATCTCTAAAGCCTTAGTTATTTGGGAGTGGAGTGAAGATGGGGATGGGGGAGGTTTGACTAAAACAAGTTAAGCCTGCATCCTACTGCTTTTCCGGTGGGTAAATCCCTGCCCACAGGAGTTCCTAACTTAGTCTCCTCTTACTAAGAATTCTGATGACATCCAAAGGGTGGGGGAGTTTTCATTGTACCTTTCAAATGTCTAATTTCTGCTCCCCTTTCTAATATCTGATTATTTTCTTAATTCTAGGAACATTTTTCTTAGTCCTTATTTTAATGGGAATCAAACCTTTTAATGGGTAATATGGTGCTGTAGTGAGCTAGTTTTTATTTGCAATTTCTTTTTCCCTTTCGAGTTTTCCAACTGGGGGTGGGAGCAGTTTTCATAAGCAATGTCCAACAGACTTCTTGATTGATAATGTCAACCCAAATCAGAGGGTCAAGTTGTCCTGCCCATAAAGATAGTTAATCTGAAGGAGGCTGACAAAAGTCACCCTTTAGGCTGCTGACCACTGAATGCATATGTTTTCTGTGTCTTTGTTCAGCTTAAATAATTAGTCATTAAATGCCAGCCAAGTGTAACATGCTGTGGAAGAGAATTTAAAAATTAAACCTTATGCTTTCCAGGGGAGCTTTCTGTATAAATTTGAATGAACCAACACAGAGCAAAGCAATTAGAGAATTAGTAAATGCTAATTTGGGTTTGTTGGTGATGAGCTTAAAAAATGCAAAGAAAGAAGTCTAGGGAGGTTTTGTGGAGGTGACAAAACTTTTAAGGTCTCTTGATGGCCAGTTAGAGGTTGTACAGACAGAGAGAGGCCAATAAAAATTACTGCAATAATCACTCTAGATAAACACATTCATTTTGCCAATGAGGAAACAGACCCCGCTAATTTAAAAGCAACATGCCTAACCTATAATATTTGGAAGAAATGGTTCTGAGTCTGCTTTTTAATCTAGTGCCTGTGTACACCAAATATAGATAGTGTTGGGTTTCACTGAAGAAACCCACCTTAGTGCCATGAAAGGACAGTGGGAGATAATCTGAACCAGGGCTTACCATGACTCTGATGTGTATGTGTGGAGTTAAATCAGAGGCTGCCTGACCATTATGAATTTTCTGTCCTTCACATGTGGGAGCAACCCTCATCTCTGGTTGCTTCATATTTAGTGACCACTTCCGATGTCTCTGATATCTTCAGGACCTATTTGGTATCCAAATAAGTGAAACAGAGGGATGGTGGTACCAGATTATGGTGAGCTGGGGGTATTTAAAGACCTGATAGTTTCTTGGTCCAGCAGATTATTCTAAGTGAGCTTGAAGGGGTTCAGCGTTGACAGATTTAACTTTTAGGGAAAGCTAGATGACAATAGTTTTTACGTGAACCTTTTGATTTACATCTAACCAAACATTTTAATGTATATTCTCTGTGAAGTCTTTGAGCCAGGCATGCCATCCCAGCACTTAGGGTGGGAGAATTAAGTGTTCCAGGCAGGTAGGACAATAGAGTGAGGGCTTGTTTAATAGCTTATGCTTAGAAAGGGTTGAGATGGACTGAAGTGCTATATAGATAAAAAGAACCAGAGGATATGAACCAAGGTGGGTTTTGGCAAACATCTTCTATTTCTGTAGAGTGTATGTCTATATGGGGTTGGATTAAGGGTGGTATTTATATGGATGTTGGGAAGGGAGGTTGAGTGTTTCTGTAGCCATATATACAGAGAAGGCCCAAGTCAAACAGTTGTCTGAAAGGGACATCATGGCAGTCCTTCAGATACCCAGTTCCATGCCCCCTCCTGGATACTGGAAGGACACTGGGATTGACTTGTGTATATCCTGGTACAGGCAGCTGTAGTGATATTGCCCCCCCTTTGGTCTTAGCCTTGGTAGAGGTAAGAACTCCTTAGTAGCTTGGCTGCTTTGCTTTTCTGATCTTCAGACAAGGTTTATTTGTTAGATTGCAAATAATATATCACTACAGGCAGCCCCTGCTCCCACCCACAGGCTATCTTTCTATGACCATCCTCTTCTATACTTAGCTTCCAAGGCTCTTTCCTCCTTGTAGGACAGTCTGACTCTTAATTGTTAACTCTTTTTTGCTCTAAAGGTAGTGGGACCTGGGAGAATGGAGTCAATAAATGAGGCAGACTAAAGTCTCATGCAATACCAGCTTTATTCATATCACCAAGCAATTTATACTCTGAGGGTCAAGTGTACAACACAAAGGCAAGCCACACATGACCAGCCTCAATCAACAATAAATGATAACAACAGTCAGCTGTGATGAACAATCTGAAGTCAGCTCAGTGCTATCCACTGTACCTGGGAGGGGCATGAAAGCATAATCCAAGAGCAGTTCTGTGTTTTGAAGAAACTGAGGTCACAAGACTCTGTTTCCTGGCATTTTTTTCACAAGCACTCAGAAATCTCTTAACACAACATAAGCTTGTTTCTCTCTGCTATTGTTGTTGCTTTCTTTTCTTTTTTGCCTTTCCTTGTTTGAAGAGACATCTTTAAGAGGTTGTGTGTCCTTTGGAAAGAAAAGTCATATTTATTAACTTTCATACCAAAACAACCATAAAACTAGCTCCTGTCTTGATGAAAGGAATTTAGTGACCAATATCTCTTTCACACATGGTAATTGCTTTATGGCTTTGCAGCATAGTACAAAGCCCCAGATGATGTCAAGTAGATTCTAAGAACAGTGCTGAAAAGAAGCCCACATATTTCCAAATAAATTCAAGATTTAGGTAGAAGGGGAATGTGAACAAACACGATCAACACCAAGCAACAGGGTCTGGACGTAGAGCCCAGGCTTGCCTCACTCCATCTTCAGTCTTGAGTGATGAGATCACAGTTGTGTTCCACTAGACCAGGCTTGCTAGCTTATTCCTGATAAGGCTCTATAGTTTAGAAGAAATTAAGTTATATTATCTCTGAGTTTCTTTCTCCTAGAACTTTGAAGTAGCTATTGTTCTAGACTCTCTGTACTTTTGAAATAAATGAGAGAGGTTGTGTATGATTCACGCTATGAGTAATAAAGCCAGGCCAGACCTCAGACTTTGTTTTCCAAATTTAGCAATCTACTTTTGTACATGGCTTTGAGGTCTGAAGAGTTAAACTGAACATGCCATGTTGGCCCCTCGTGGGCACCCTAGGAACTGGTTTTGTTGATGCTGTTGAAAGAGAATCCTGAAACATGATTTGTGCTGCATTGCAATCTTTTGTGTAATAAATGTGTAGAGTGTATACATGCCCTTTTGAACAAACTCATGATCATTCAAAATGATTAGATTTACAGTTGTCATATCTTTGCTTATATTGCATGTCATTCATACACATGATATATTTGACAGTGTGTCTTTGGTCAAAA